AGGCAACGCTGCCACCAGTGCTATCCAGCTGCTGCCACAAGTGTGCAGATCCAGTGACAGCGCTGGAGGTCAGAGAGTCCCAGCTCTAAGCAGCCCACAACTGCCGAGGGCTGTAACCAAATCTGACCCTGGAAACTAGAGCTTTTTTATCCAGCAGCAAAAGAAGTCATGGAGATCAGATGGCCCATCTCACTGTATCTGGTTCTGCAGGGGCCAGAAAGGAAGATCCTGGAGATGTGGAGTGGGACACCACCTACGGGGCACCAGCCCAGCCTTTCTTTCTCTAGCCTCAAAGCACAAGCCAGGACCAGGGCTTCAGTCCCACTGAGAGACTGCAGTGGGTGGGGTGGGGAGAGTCTGTGCCGCCCAAGACAGGTTGTTTGAGCTGCCCTGCCTGTGTAATTCAGACTGGCCTAAAATTCACTGTGTAGCTCAGGGTGGCCTCAAACTTACAGCAACCCTCCTGCCTCAGCCTTCTGAGTGCAGGGATTACAGGTGTGTACCACCATACCTACCCCTCCTCTAAACTTTGTTAGTATCTGTGGTTCATGTTGTGCACTTCCCAGTGAGAAACTGCATGACACATCTATGTACATTATTTTCACACACGTGTTCCCCTTTCTACCCAAATGAAACAGTCCTTGAGGGCAAGAGCCAGACCGGAAGAGAGCTCCAGCAGTGTTCTAGCCAAACGCTCTACCTTTGGACGCAGACGCCAATCTCCAGGAGTGAGGACGGGCTTTGCTGCTCTGACTTTAAAATGTGCGCTAGAAATGTGCCCCTGAGCTTCCTGAATTCCCAATGTCCTTTGCGCATCCCGTTGAGGCTCGGACTTGAAAAGGTTTGGACAAAGGAGAAGAAATGAGGCGTGAGTGGGAGTTCAGACAGGTTGAGGTCCGTACGTTTCACTGCTGGTTCTCTTTACTTCCCCACTGTGCAGCCTCCGGACCACGCGGCCACTCTGCAAACGTGGGAGAAAACAGGCGGCAAGAACACAGGTATAAACCAGACTGTGGTCCTGGGCATGGACCGGAAGCATCAGTGTAAACTCACAGTTCACATTTGAAAACCATTTCTAATTTTGTCCTTTGAAAAGGCCCAGACTCAGTCACAACACCCCTGATGTCTGAAATGGTATTTAGGGTCCCCATTTCCAAGAAGAGCGATCAAAGAGCCTTAGAAGGATTAGCTTACTTCTAGTTGACAAGATGAGCCTGGCCATCACTCATGACAGGAAGCAAAGAAGTTAGCAGGGAAGGCCAGGGAACAGCATGTCAGAAAGATTCTGAAATCGTCTTGAAGAAGCTCCTGCTGGCCACAGATGCGGATAATTTTAACTTTTTTTTTTTCCTGAGACACGGTCTCACTGTGTAGCCCAGGCTGGCCTCAAACTCATGAAGATGCTCCTGCTTCAGCCTCCCAAGTGCTGGGTTTATCTGTGCCCCCAGGCCTGGCAGATAACTTAAATTTAAATAAAGAGAACAATTGCAAAGGAGTGAGACATAACAAATACACTTAAATCCATGAATACATCATGACTCCAAAGAGAAAAAAGCAGTCATCATAAGGGGATCCAGGGAACTGATTTTTTCTTTTTTTAAGGTGGTGATGGAGAAAGTGAAGCATTTCTTGAAGAAATTAGAATATCATCATCACTTTACAACACTGGGAAATACAGATTGATCATCCCTAACCCAAAAATCTGAAATACTTTAGAATTTGAAATCTTTTGGCACCAATAGAATGCCACAAGTAAAAAAATTCCATACCATGAAACATTATTTATAACACTGTGCTACAAAACAATGTTATTTACAATAATGCATAAAGTTAATTGCAAGTATAAGGTATATATAAACCAGAATGAATTTTGTGTTTCAACTTGGGTCTCACCCTCTAGATAGCTTATTACACATGTGCAAATATTGCAAAATCTGACATCAGAAACACCTGCGGTCTCATGCATTTTAGATAAGAAATAATCACTCTGTAGTGAACATAAGTAAAGATGGCAATGACTACGGACATCAAAAAACAAAGAGCAGCTCAGTGGTAGAGCTAGTGTTTAACATGCACAGGACCAGGTACACAGGAGGCTGAGGCAGGAGGATGAGTTGAGCACAGGCGTTAGAGGCCAAGGCCAATGTCATCCTGAGCAACACAGTGAAACCCGATCTCAGAAAAAAAAAAAAAAAGCAAAACATGCATTAAGTCATTGAAAACGAACACAAGACAGTCTGTGCCTCCTTTATTATGGAGGCACATGACCTAGTATTTTTGCAAAAACAAATCTAATCTGATCTGGTCCATGACTTTAAATACCAATTTATAGAAAACATGACAATAAAACCATAAACTGTCACCATGGGAATGTAGATGGTTGTTATGGTTTGTGTCTGGCTGTGTCCCCGCAAAGCCACATGCAGTCATGGGGCGGTTATCACTTTTTGAGAGTTCATGACTGACTCATGGTCCAGTGTTGGAATTATGGGTGTGAGTGCTACATCTGCCCTGGGGCGGGTAGTTTGCATACAATATAAGGGAGGGGAAGAGGCTGCTTGCCGCTGCTCCTCCCTTTTGCTCTTTTTGCTTTTGCTGTCTTTTGCCGCCATGAACTGTTGCCCTCTGCCGTGTGCCACCTGCCTTGGCGCCAGCTGAGTATGGACTGAAACCTCCACAGACTGTGAGTTAAATAAACCTTTCCTTCCTTAATTTTGGGTGTCAGATATTTTGTCTCAGCAATGAGAGAAAAGTAACCAAGACAATGGTCTACAGGATAAGCCTGCAGTTTATTTAACAAATTAAAAAAACAAACAAAAAAACTAAAATTGAGGAGGTACCTATGGGTTACAAGACAGGTAAGAGACACGTGAAACCTACTGCAATATATAAAATTTACTTTGGTCTCAATCTGGAAAAAAAATACTGAAATAAACTACATGAGTGGAAAACAGCAACTGGATATTTGCTTATATTAAGGAATTATTATTTTTAAATGTGATAATGAAAATGTGGCTTTTAAAAAGGCCTTCAGTTTTCAGAGACACTTTCTAAAAATTTCCTACTGAAATCTGATGCGTCTGGGTGTGGTGGCACACACCTGTAATCCCAGCACTTGGGAATCTGAGGCAGGAGAGTCACTGTGGATTTGAGGCCACCCTGGGCTACATAATGAGACCCTGTCTCAAAAAAAAAGGAAAAAATAAATCTGATGCCTGAGCTTTGCTTTGAAGTTGTGAAGTGTGAAGCCTTTGGTGAACTCTGCCAAGATGACCTGCACATTGACATTCGGTGTCCAATTATCTCTGCTTCTGTATGTATTAAACATTTTTAGCCAGGCCTGGTGGTGCATGTGTATGATCCCAGCATTCAGGAGGCTGAGGCAGGAGGAGTACAGCAAGTCTGAAACCAGCTGGGCAACTTTGCAAGACCCTGTCTCAAAAAAAAAAAAAAAAAAAATCTGAAACAGCATGGATTATACATCCTTAATCGGAGATATCCTAAGGACAAAGATGACCACAAAGAAATCTCCAATTGTACTTAGCAGTGTTGTTATTAGCAACAAGGTCAGTTATCACTTTTGAACTGCTGCACAGATTGAAGAACAAAGTAGATAAACTGAGTCTGGCGGCACACACCTGTGACCCCAGTTAGGAGGGCTGAGCAGGATTGGAAATCTAAAGCCAGGCTGGGCAAGAATTTGTCCCCAATAAATACATCATTAAACCAGCTGAAGATGCAGCTCAGTGGCAGAGTCCCCTGGATTTGATCCCTTGTACCAAAACAAACCAAAACATGGGGGGTATAGTCGGCCAAATATAGAATGTGCTTAATTCTGTAGAAAAAATGCTCACAAATGAATGGCATTAAAAAAAGTTTGGGGTGATCTGGGGATGTGGGTCAGGGAGGAGCTCACGGGAGGGCAAGTGTAAGGTCCTGGGTTCAACTCTCAGCACAGAGAGAGACAGTGAGGTAGCGGTAGAGAGGCAGAGAGGGGACGCTGTTGGGAGCTAAGAGAAATTTAGAGACATAGCAACTAAATATTGTTTATTTATCTCATTTGGGACCTGAATGTAAACCAACAGTAAAAATATACTTTTTTGGAGGGGTCAATCGGGGGAAATTTACATGGACCGAGTAATTGACTGCTGCACACCGTAACTCATTTCTTGATAAACCAGACACACGTGTAAACATTGTAGTCTCCCTAGTGTGAGAAACTGAAAGAGTAAATAACTCGTTTCAGATATACATACTGCAGCATTTATAGGTGGCATAAAGTTGTTCAGCACTTGCTTTAAAAATACCCAAAGAGGGCGCAGAGCAGGAAGCAGAGGCGGAGGGGGAGGAAATAGGTGAACAGAGAAAAACGGCAGCACGTCAAAGGATGATAAGCCGGGCTCTTGATAGTAATCTCACTACTTACGCATGTTTGAAAATTTTCATAAAAGTTAAACAACACAGAAAATAGCTTTAAAGAATAAGATGAACCACAGCCAGGCACTCTATTTTGACCACTCTGGAACTTAAAGGGACAGGAAAGAATTTAAGGTGAGTGAAGGTTGGGGAAATCAGGGAGATGGCAAGGCAGGGACAACTCTGACCTTGCTCTGGGCTGGGCATAGACCTAAGGAAATGAGGACTGAAATGGGGCCCTTGTGGGGCGATGTGCAGCATGGGACCAGGGCATAGTGGTGTTCAAATCCTCACCAGGCACCTGCAAGGTGCATTCCCTATTCTCCTGCTGTGATGATGATGGGAGTTTGCTCCAACGTCCTCCGGGCGTCCTCCGAAAAAGAAAACATCTCTACTCTCCCGCCCTTGGACCTCTTCCTCCAGTCCACAAATCACCAGTCAAGAATGATGTGCTATGGCACCATCTGCTGGTAGAATATGGAAACTGAAGTGACCAAAAGCTTAGGGTTCCCAGAACAAGGAGTTCAAGACAAAATGATTTGAGATCTGGTTTTCCCTCCCTTAGAAAAGACAGACACATACAATTAAACATATAAGAAACCTTTAATCTCATCACCATAAACATTATACTCTGATTACTCATATACAGTATAAAATATTTACTCCGCTAAATAAATAAGACATAACATTATTGCAAACGGCACTTAATCCCCGAGCGAGAGCGGTAGGAGCTCCTGGGCTCAGGCAGGGGTGCTCCTGAGTTGCTGTGAGATTCCCGAGCACAGATGCACCCTGGGGGCTGAGCTGGTCAAAGGCTCGAGGAACCACACTTGTGCTTCTGGTCCCGCAATGGCCCCAAACAGGTTGTGGAGCCAGTGGGGAGAGCTGGGGAGGGGGGGAGGGCAGTGTCGTCATCAGCCCAGCCCTCTGGGGAACAGAGGGGACCCGGGGGAGTCAGGCTGGGGTGAGAAACAAGAGATTAGGGACATCCAGGGTCCCCGCCACTTTCCTATAACCTCCCAGCTCTGGGTAAGGACATCTGGGTATCAACTCAGGTGAGTAGAGCTTCCAAGGTCCTAGTTTAGGCATTTTTGGGGGCCAGACCCATCACCCCAGGGAATGATCAGTATGTGGGGAGACGCAGTTACTGAGGCTCTCGTTCTACCCAACTCCTGGACACCAACACAGAAGAGCGAGGAACAGCTTTCCTTCCCTTCTGCTTTGTTCAATAAATAAGTTAAATACTTAAAAGTCCTGGGTGTCCCCATGATGGCAACCCAGGGCCCCCAGCTGTGTCCTAACAACAGGCGGAGGCAGGGGAATCCGCAGGGAGGCAGCGCTGCGGGCCACACGGTGTCGCCCCGTCCCTTGGGACTCTTCCTACAAACAGCTTCCTCTTTCTAATGCTGGAGAGGAGCGTTTCCACCAGAAACTCCCACGCAAGAGCAACACTTGGCAACACGCTGGGGGCTGCAAGATCCCAGGGCTTGGAGGTGGGACGCCAGGTGGCTGAGTATATTCTGTTATCTTCTCTGAGTGTACCTCAACTAGGTGCTGAGCCTGGGGGACCCCCTACAGAGTCCTGCGTTCCAGTGCACGGAGCTAATCAGCTATCTTGCCTTTGGCTCCCCGCCAGAGGCAACTGAAAACCAGCTGGGAAGCCGCCAGCCAGCCCTAGAGACTGGGAAGACGCTAGGGAAGCCTCAGGCCCCATCCGAGGCTATGCACCACACAGCCACGGGGTGGCAGCAGAGAGCCAAACCACTTTGGCAGCAGGGAGGCTCTGGAGCCCCCCACTGGAGAGCTGGGACCCGCTGAGGCAGGGCCTCCCTCAGTATTCGGAACCCTCTACACAGAATATTTGGCCAAGTCGCTCTTGTCAAATACTACCTGGGTAGCAAAGTAAATGGCCACTAGACCCAAGCCTGCAGCTGACACCATATAGGCAGTGACAGACTGGCTAAGCTGGACGATGGAGCCCATAAACAGCGACGGGGCCACCTGGGACAGCAGGAAGGCGCTGTCCAGGATGGCGAGGTCCAGGCAGATGCCCCGCCCTGGGACGACCCTGGCCTCGCTTGGCTCACCCACCACTACTCGCACAGAGACGTCACAGGCTGAGGCCCCGCACAGCGCGGCTGGAGCTGGGAGCAGGCTGCTGCCGGTACCCGCATGTCCATTGGGGAAGGGTGCTCCGGATGGCAGAAAGCTGGTTGCAAGGCTGTCCTCACTGCCACCGCCTCCAGGGTCCCCTCGGTATTTGGGCAGGAACACCTGGGGGTGAGAAAGAGGGATGAGGACAGGTGTACAGCCTGGCACTGGGGTCCCCACTTGTGAGACCAGGCCCTGGGCTTCAGAGGCTGAAAGAAACCCGGCTGGGGTCGCCTGACACAGGCAGCAGGTCAGAAACCAGGCCTGCTTGGGCTGGGTCTAGGCCCCCCCTCAGGAGTGGGAGATGACAGCAGGGCAGAGCGGGGACAAATCAGAAACCAGAACTGTCAGATGCAGCAGTAACACACCTCTAATCGCAGCACTCCTCCCAGGAGGCTGAAACACGACTCACAGGTTCAAGCTCAGCCTGGGCAAGGTAAAGACTTAGTGAGACCCTATCTCAAACTAAAAAATTTAAAAAGGGCTGAGGATGTAGCTTTGTGAGAAGACCCTGGGTTCAATCTCCAGTGCCGGGTGCTCAAGGGTGGAGGAGTCAAGAGAACAGGACAGCAAAACCCAAAGGAGGGGCTCGGAGGCCCAAACCCTACCCAGGCGCCCGCTGCCCTCTTCCTGTCTGTCCACTTGGCCATCAGAAATCCCTGTCGCACTGCCGAGTGAGGCCCTGCCCCTCTGGGGTCCCGTGGAGTTGCCCGTCGTGAGGTCCTTGCCCCAGCCTTGGGCCTAATGCTGCAGCCCCTCTCCCTTCCCTCCGGCTGTCTGCCTTGGATCTGAGACCCCATCTGCTCACGCTCCCCACCCTTGCTCTGCCTCAGTGACCCGGCCTCCTACTGAAGGACAAGGCCAGGCCTTATCCACACTGCTGTGGGTGCCAGGCGGTGTCTAGCACAGAAGGCTGTTTGAGCTGGTTACACGAGCGAGCCAGGAGCCATGGCAGAGCGCCAACCTGATACCAGGGAAGCCCACAGCCCATCACTCAGCTCAACAAGTGGCAAAGGACAGGCAGATGGCACACAAGGCCAAGTTGGCCGTCGACTGCTGTTGGAATGAGCCTCCTGGGACGTCTCCTCTCTGACTGCCAACACAGGAAGGACCAGTAAGGCTGAAGCCTAGAGAGGCCCTGGGTACAGAGAAGCGAGCTGGGCCCAGCCTGTCCCTTGGCATAACTGCATGTGCTCGGGCCTGGCCCCCAAGCTGCCAGCCCAGAGCAGGAAGAGAGGAGAGGTGACAAAGGGGCCAGTCAGGGTCTCAGAGACCAGGGTCTCTTACCCAAGCCTGAGCAAACCAGTCTGTCAGTTATGAATTTCTGCACTACCCACTTCATGTCCTGCCAGGGCAGGGTTGGGTCTGCACCACACTCTGGAAGCTCCGGGGGAGGGGGGTCCTACAGGCGGGGCTGTAGTTCAGTGAGCTCAGTGGAGGGGACAACAGTGACCACACTGCCTGGATCAGGTTTCCCCAACTCACACAGTGCCCGGGTGAGAGGAGCTGGTATGTCAGGCTACTATCTACGGAAGGAGAAGAGGGAAGGGACGGGCAGAGGAGGGAGGCAGGAAAAGAACAAAGAGTTAGAAGAAAGAGGGTCGGAGGGGGTTACTGCCAGCTGGGACCAGAGCAGGACACAGGCAGTCACATTACCTCTCCCTGGGAAGGAGAGGAGTGGCTCAGGCCACACCATTCCCAATGCCATCTGCTGAAGCCAGGTGGCCCCAAAGTCACTCCATGCAGGCCCCCCCCTCCCCCCGTCCCTTGTTGCACAGTGCAGGCCAGACCGAGGGCTCCCGCCGGCCTTAGTCTTCAGGATTCTTGGGGAAGGATTCTGCATTTCCTGCAATCATCCACTCAAGTGGTTTACAGTCCCAAGGCCAGGAAGTCATTCCCAGAATCTAATCTGTACTCTTCTTCCGCCCAAGCCTCTGGCCCGGGGCTGAGATGAGCTTCCTCCGCACAGACAGCACCTCCCGCAGCCCTGGCTAGACACCAGTCCCCTCTCCCACTGGCCAGCAGCGAGGCAAGCACCGTGACAAGCACTGCTTCTCCTACCTGCTTCTCTCGGTGGTAGAGGGAGGCCAGCGTGTAGGGCAGGATCTGCAGGGCTGAGAAGGTGAAGCCAGTGAGGGCAGCTGAGGCCGTCACCACGGCCACACTGTGGGACAGGCACGTGGCACCGGCGGCCACAGGGAAAGCTACCACGCTGGCCAGGTAGACAGCTCTGGTGCCAAACCGCTGTACCAGCCGGTCCATGACAAGGGAGAACAGCAGGGAGATGGCGCACTGCAGGAAAAGCCCCAGGCTGCCCATGCGCACACCTGGGGGGCAGAGAGAGCCAGGTTAAGGGTCCTGCACCCTCCTGGGCACCCAGGGAACTGTTGGGGGAGCCGGGGACAGAGGCAGAGCTCCCATTCCCGAGGGCCCATTCCACTCCACCCGCAGCAGTGGGCACCAGGTTCAGCCACTGACCCTCAGCAGACGTGGCCAAAGCTGGTGGGGAAGGGCAGGAGAAGCTGTTCCAAGATGGACAGATGAGCTTTGGGGACAACACGGCGAGAGGGAGCACAAAGACAGTACAGGCTTCAGGGTGGCGTCCCAGGGCTGGGGGTATAGCCCCGTAGGACAGCGCCTGCTGGGCCTGTGCAGGACCCTGATTTTGATCCCCTCCACCACAAACAGAAACAAGCAAAGTCAATGCTCTAGAATATTTCCAGAGTTATCTCGAAAGTCGGCAGGGAAGCAAGGGTCAATCTGAAGCGGTGGCCAGCCAGACCTGAAGTCCAGCTTTGACTCCTCCAATCCCTTTGGGCCTTGAATGAGCTACACTTTTCCTTCTGTCAAATGAGTCTGACTGAATTCAGAGCAGAACCATCTGCACATGGGTCCCTTTGCCTTTCCAGATGGAGAAGCTGGGGCCAGGCTACGCACAGCTCCCAGCCCTGGAATGTCCCCTGGAGGGTAGCCTCTTTGGGCTATGAGGCCTTACCTTCATCATAGTGTCTCCGGGCCTCGGTGCCGGGCTCAGCTCTGGGCACACCTTGGTACAGTCCCTCGCCCACGAAGTCCGTGTAAAACAGTGTGAAGGTCATGAGCGCCATCCAGCTACACAGCTCAGCCACAAAGAGCCGGCGCAGGGTCCGGGGCATGTGGCAGCAGAGCTGGTGCAGCCGAGGAAACAGGGCGTCCAGGCTCTGGAAAGCCAAGCGGGTCCGGCACGGGCAGCAGTATGTGGACACAGAGGATACTGACAGGCCTTCCACTACCTCAGATGGGCCCAGCACTGCCTCCTCAACCACAAACAGCGTGGCTGCCACGCAGGTGAGGAAGATTAGTGTGAGCAGGCCAAAGAGGCACTCTTCCTGGGTGCCCAGGTAGGGGGCCAGGGCGCTGGCGTCCCAGTCAATGGCGGGCAGGAGGTAGCCCAGGCAGCCCCCAAGGCTGATCATGAAGGCGTAGACAGAGAAGGCCTGGCGGCAGTGGTCTGGGTCCCGGAAGAGGTCGGACAGCAAGGCCTCTAGTGGCGTGAAGCACACCTGGCCGCAGAAGTCCAGCAGCCCCACGCCTAGGATGAGCAGGGCCAGCTCCAGGGGCCTGGCATCCGGGCACAGCAGCCCCGCCAGCCAGCCCGCCCTCGGGATGAGGAAGAGGCTGAGCAGAACACCCAGGGACAGAGCCCAGATGAAGGGCCTCCGGCGGCCATAGCGTCCACGCCACTGGTCACTGGCTGAGCCCAGGAGCGGGACAGAGACCAGGCCCAGCACTGGCCCGATGCCTGCAAGAAGGGCAAGTAGATGAGTCAATGTCAGGGGCCGGGACAAAGACGGCGCAGGGGGCAAGGGGAGCGGGCTCCTCCAGAAGGATGGAAATGATGACGCAACGTCAGACTTGGGGCTCGGTCTTCACCCGGACTCTCTAACTTACTCTTCATAACACAGGTGTTACTAGGGCTCTCATTTTCAGATGGGGAAAGTAAGGCACAGAGCACCTGAGAAGTGACACTTAGGCAAAGGCTGGGTGGGGTGTCCCCTGGATTCTGACTCTAGACTCTGCATCTGACAGGGCTCCTCTTCCCAGGGCTGGGAGGTGTCATCCCTTGGCAACCACTTGTCAGCAGTGGCTGTGGCAAAGTACCTGGTACAGTGAGCCACCCCTGCCCCGTCCCAGCGGGGATCCTGGTCAAGTGCTAGCTCTCCTAGTCAGCACCACAAGCTAGGGCTGAGTCTTAGCCAAGCTAAGACTCACCTATCCTCTCACAGGCCTGTTTCCCTCTCTGTAAAACGACCACCTCAGGGGGGGTTGTAAGGAATAAATGAGATTACAGACTAGAGTTACAGAAGGGCGAGACAAAGGCTGGGAACAGTTTCTCCGGCATCTCCCAGGACCCAGGCAGTGTACAGGGATACAGAGGTGCCTACACTATTACGTTCCTGAACTCGTCTCTCTGGGAGCACTCCATGGCCCAGGGTCACCCTGCTGCCCGGCAGCATCTGCCCAACAGGTACAGAGACAGACAGCAGCCACTCCCCTTCCCAGCTGCTCCCAGGAACTGCTGCCTGCCTATATCCCAGGTGCACAGGCAGGCAGAGTGACTCACCTAGCACCATGGTCATGAACCTCTCCTCCACCCCCACTTCCAGCAGCAGGGGTGGCACGTAGGTGATGCCTGCAGCCAGGCACACCTCCAGGCCAAAGGTAAGCAGGTTGACCAGTAGGAGCTGGGCCTTGCGATGCCGCAGCAGGCGGCTCCCCCACAGCCTCTGGACCATGGTGGGCCAGGCGGTCAGGCTCTGGAGGCCGGTCAGGGGCACGCACTCCACGACGGCCTTGTCCCAGCCCTGCTCCAGATGCTGCTTCTTCTTGCTGCGGCCAAAGGCCTAGGAGTCAGCCAGACACCCATTTCTGCCGGTCCTCTGGTGCAGGTCCAGCGTTTCAGTCCACGCTAAACACCTGTTATCACGCAGTGCCTCGGTGGGGACACATCTTGCCAGTGGGGTCCTAAAAGGGCAGGACGATCACAGGCACATGGAGTGTTAGGTCCTAGGAGCTGGGTCTCCAGGATTTGCCCTGAATTTTCAGAATCCTGTTCATTCACAGCCCAGTGATGTGGCCCTGGCTCCTCGGTGCTGCCCCTGGCTGCCCAGTCAGGAAATGCATGTTAATATTAGCTGAAGGCTGACATAATTAACGAAGTAAATATGATTTTTAAACCTCAGCGCACCCCAGGACCAAGCAGATGCCAGTTATTTTCTGTTTTAGAATATCTCTGCAATAACCCTTGTCTATTAGTAAGGAAAACCAAAATCAAATGAACTCAATTCTCAGTTGCCCAGGCCTGGCTCTCCAGGGGGCCCCAGGGACCCTCTGCCTCTGCCAGGCCTGGGTTATTTGCTCTTCTCTCTCCAACTCCCAGAGGTGGCTGCTCAATTCCCCTTTGTTGAAAGTGACACTTCCGATTCTGCACCTTCAGGTCCTGGGCTGTGTTGCGCCACAACCCCCACCCCAGGGCAGGGACAGAGGGGAAGGGAGGAAAGGCTGTGGTTTGCTGGGCTGGGTTTCAACCTGTTACGGAAATCCTTGGTGATCTAGGTCAGAAAACCTCTCCCATGAGCTTCTCCCCAGGTTCACCGTGCATGGGGGCACAGACGGTCCCACCCATTAGTGACTGTCTAACCTTGAGCCGTGAGAGCAGTGGGGTCATTCCCAGGTCCCGATCGCACAGGGGCATGTAACCACACCGCCCAGCCGGACCTGTGATGACGCCAGTGACCCCTGAGCTAGCAGGGCACCCTGCCACTTCCTGGGCAGCCTTTCCCTACTCCTCACGGAGTTCCATTCTCAGCGGAGAAGTTCCCACACTCCCTCCAGTGCACCAGCAGCAAGGACCGTGCTGTGGGGCTGCTGTGGGCCAGCAGGTAGCCTCCAGGTCTTCCTTCCTTGCTTCTACCCACTGCAGTGTGCTCTGCTTAGAGGTAACTATGAAAGGGAAAATTAGCCAGGTGTGATGGTGCACATCTGTAATCTCAGCATGGTGGGAGGCTGGGGCAGGAGAACTGCAACTTCCATCACAGACTGGGTAACTTAGCTGTTTAGTAAGACCCTGTCTCAAAAATTTGAAAAATCTTAAAAAGTTGCCGAGGATATAGCTCAGCAGCACTGTGACTGCCTGGCAAGCTTGAGGTCGTGAATTTGATTCCCAGTACCAAAAAAAAACCCACAAAAACCCGCTGGGGAAATAGCTCAATGCAAAGGTGCTGGGCCGGATTCAATTGCCAGTAAAAAAAAAAAAAAAAAAAAAAAAAAAAAAAAAAAAAAAAAAGGGAAATCAAGTCAACTATCAGAAGAGGTGCAGAAAAGCCAGCCATGGGGCCCACACCTGTAATCAAGCACTTGGAGACTAAAGCAGAAGGATCAGGGTTGGAGGCCCCATGGCTACACTGTGAGACCCCATTTCAAGAAGCAAAAAAAAAGAGGAGGAGCAGAAGAAGAGGAGGCAGAGGAGAAAGAGAAGGAACAGCAGGCAGGTAAGAGGCCCCCACCCTGTCATCAATCCCAAAACAGGCAGAGGACAAAACTTTCCACCACTCAGGCTGCACAGCCTTTCCTTTCCTCCCGCGTCTATCCCACAAATGCTGAAGAGCAGCTACTCTTGTGCAGGGACCGCAGTGGCTAAGGGCTGGTTCTAGTCCCCTGGCAGGCCACCACCTCCTCACCCATCCCCTCGCCCACCCCAGCATCTCACAATAAGAGGTGTTTCCACTTCCTTTATCTTTTCAAGGAGCAAGGAGTCTCATGCAGTCCTGCGCGTTACAAAGCATGTTGCCGGTGCTCTCTGAAATCAATCCAGCTGTCCACTGCCCGACCACCTTTTCGCGTTTTGCGGCTGGCAAACCAGGAAAGAAGGGACTTGGGGTAAGGCTGGGCGCTGGGGGACTCCTCCCCCAAGTCCCCAGCCTTTGGAAAGAGGAGGGACTCTTAGAGGAGTGGCAGAGGGAGGAGTATAAAACACTGACCCACACAGTCCCAAAAGGGAGGTCCTGGAAACCAGACCTGGGTGTTCAAGTGGATGGACCGCTCCTGGCCGCTGCATTTCCCAAGATCTCAGAGGGAAAGTGGTGACCAAAGGGTGGAGCTACGCAGCCTGGAGGGAGGGGTTCTGGGGCACAAGATGTGCAGCCCACTCCACTCCCTGCCCTCAGTCTGGGAGGGCCAGGAACACTCACCTGCACTGAATATCCCAGGGAACCAGGTCCTCCCTGGGCAAACAGAGACTTTGTCAGACAGCCTCACCCACAACCCGCCCTCAAGTCCACGCTACTCCTTGTTTAAAATAAATTGCAGCTGTCCAGGGACCACGGATCACAGCACCTGCCTTCCCCAGCCCTCAGTCCTCTCCCTCAGGAGCAGGACCTCTCTAAGCCCGCGGGGGGCGGGGGGGGGGCGGGGAGACTGAGAGGTGAGCAGAGGAATTCCCCCCACACTCCCACAGCCGAGGAGTGTGGAGCAGCCTCCCTCCTGTGGGAGGCCCTTAACCAGGTAACTGGGGGCTGGGCCTAGGAAGAATTCACTGAAAGGAGTCCAGTAGGAAGTAGGCAGTCTGGCAGCCCTGCTTGGGCACCCCCTCTCATTTTAGGTTGCAGAGCCCGTCCTCCCTTTTTTCCTGTCTACTCTGCCCTGGGGGTCCAGGCATTCCTGCCACCCCTACATTTTACCCTTCCCAGCTCAGAATCACAAGAGGAATTCCCTGTCCTCCAAAGCCCCACTTTCATATCCCCCATGCCTCAGTCTCCCCCACTTCCCATTGCAGGTGCCACAATGCCAACTCCAGCTGCTAGCCATTCCCTCCAAGGTCTTCTTCCTGGGCACCACAAAAAGAGCCCAGGCCCTGCCTGGTTCCCAGGCTCAGCAGGCCCTGGAACAAGAAATGGTTCCATGCCACTTTCCCAGCCTCCACTGGTCCTAAGCCCCAAGCACCTTTCTCATCCATGCTTGGAAATGACAGATCGCTGGTGGCCACACCTGCTCCAGGTCTGGGGAGCTCCCCTGACTTCTGGAGCAGGAACATGGGCCAGGGGACTGGGTCTAACTCTCGTTATTCCACTCTGGTCTCAGAGCCGCTTTGAACTCAAATCCTCCTGCCCCCACTGCTCTCTGAGTACTCTGTGTAGCTGGCAAACAGAAGATCAACCAGGAGAGCCGCCAGGAATGCTCACCTGGAGAGGAGGGGGCGGGAAGAGGAGAGAAGTGGAGAGGCTGCCCTCCAGGAAAGTTGAGAACAGCGGCAGCCTTCCAGGAGAGTGAGCTCCTCTCAGGTTGCAAACCTCTCCAGGAACTTTCCTGGGGCTGCACCCTGGCCCACCCTTCCTCAGCCCCAGAGACCCAAACTGAAGCCTAGAGGGACCAAGGGCCCTGGGCAAGGTCAGGGAAGTTGGATCTATTGGCCCAGCTCTGGACATCCCAACACATAGCACCCCCAGGGCAGGTTGGGGTTCTTTCACAAGCCTTGGGCTCCAGCCCCAGCAAGTAAAAGGACCTGGGACGTGTATGCCTAATGAATGAATATGGGAGAATAGGTGTGTAAGTGGTGGGAAAAGACCTAAGTTGTCCCCCTACTATGGGCAGCTAAGTTAGATGGAAGTTAATACACAGTCGCAGAAAGACAGGGCTGTCAACGAAGTCAGAAAAAATAAAGACATCAGCATTGTGGGTGGAGGCACCTCTGAAGAAGACCAGGCCTCAAGATAAAGATGCATTGTCCAGGCCTACACGCCTCCCCTAAGGGATAAGCAGTAACTTGGAATTATACTATAACTGGTACCACCTGGTCCAGTAAAGTCCAGATAGGCATCAGTCACCCAGGTGGGTGACCAAAGCATCCGGACCCACCCCTTCCGAAAAATGCCTTTGTTCTTTCCACATACCCTTGCTATGTGACCTGCCTCTCTTATGGATAAGTATTAGCTAAGTGGCTATACTTGTAACCTTATTGGCTGATCATAGTTTGACCCACCTTGTACTTGCATCGTGATTTTGTGCCCACCTGGTGATTTTCTTTATAAAACTTTGTTGGAGAGGCGGTCTCAGTGGCAACCCACTTTGGGGTCACCTCTTGTCTCTCAGGAGCTATCTCTCAAATCTTTCCTACTCTTAACCTCCCTAGTTCCTTAGAATTCATTCTTCAACCTTGGGAGATACAAACTGAGCAGCCTATCTGACATCTGGCAGGTTGAGAGTTACATTTTCCCCTATGTCACCCCTACCCCAGGCACCCAGGGAATCCCTAGCTCAGCCTCAAAGGCGGCAGCTCACAGGGCTGGAAGCAGAGGGGCTTGGACAGACCCTCCAGGCCTGGAACACCCCCTTTTCGGTCTGGACCCCAGCAGGCAGTTTGGGAAATGAAACTGAGCAGCAGGAACAAACTTGGCCTGAACTTTGTCCAAAATTCAAAAGACAGAGTGGAGGAGGCGGAGAAAAGGCGACCGGAGCCCACTCCCTGCTAGCTCCCTGAGGGAAGGGAGGGTCACAGGGACATATAAAGAGGCCTTTGAGGACTTTCAAAGAGGCTCCTGCCACCCCTTGAGGCAGAGGTGGGGCTGGGGGGCTGCAGAGTCCCTCCTGATAGACAGAGGCCAGAGGGAGCCGGCTGGGGTGGCCCCCGCCCGGGGCCAGTGTCAGGCAGCAATTCTATGGCCTCTTTATGCAGGCCAGCGTCCCCACACCCTGCCCAGGCACATCAAACGGCCGCAGCCCCCTCCCTGACCCCGCGGCTCGGGGACCCTGCGTCCCCCTCCATACTCACAAAGGCCGGCCACTTTCTCACACGCTCCCAGGAGCGCGAAGCACGCTCTCCAGAGGGGGAGACGACTGGGCACGGGGGAAGCTGGCCTCCAGGAGCAGTGACTCAGCTGAAGAAAGGGGTGGGTTCACCCCTGTCAGCTTCCCTAGCACCCCACCAAGGCTGTCACACCCCCGGCCAGGCGTGGAAAGACTGAATTCTAAGGAGGGCTCTTCCAGGCTAGGGCATGGATGCCCACCACTCAGGTGAGGGTCTGTCCATCAGCACCCAACAGCTGCACCCCCCCCCAGCCTCAGGGCCGGGGGTCCACACCCCACCCCACCCCTTCAGGGTGGCTCTCCTGGGTCATCCCAGAACATCCTGCCCTAGGACATCCTGCCTGGAGGCCTGAACACAGGTGCCCTCAGAAGCTGGAAGCTACGATCCCCCAACCTTACACAGCCCCTGTGGCAGGGTGGCTGAACTGCTGGGAATTCCTGCCTAGTACCTGGCCTGCTAGGAGAGGAACACGGCAGAAGATATACAGGCTTGGGGCCTCCCACCCCTTTGGTCTTTGATTCACTGGTACCCAAATATTTCCAAAGCAGTGAGGCCTCTGCTTCACTAAACCACTCCTGCCCCAAAACAATGCAACCATGATTTGTAACAGTAGCTGAGCCCCATCACATCACTAGGGCTCCAGGCCACACCTGAGGACATGGTTTCTTGAGACCTCTCCACCTCCGAGGGACTCCTAGGAAAGAACAAGGGCCTGCAGTGCAGAAGGGGCCCCAGCCTCAGCCCCCACCCCAAGACTTGCTCCCTAGCCCTGGCCTCCCCCAGGCCTGGAGGCTGAGGATTTAGAGTTCACCCCGCTGAGCAGCCTTTTCTTCCCCCGGACTGGAAGCCTTCTGCTTAGCAGCTTGTCAAGAGAGAGTGAGGGGCTGCAGGCCGGGACACAAAGGGGGATTAGGGAGAAACCTCTCGGCCTGCGGAGTAATCCATCAAACTCTCTCCCGGCTGCCAGCGCCAGCCCCTTCCCACTCAATTCCCCTTCCAGCTGCTGCTGGCCCCCACCCCCTCGGGCTCCTGAGCCCTGTCACTTGGGGCAGCAAATAGAATCTCAAGCCCTGGGGGCGCAGAGGGGCCACACCACAGACACTGGGAAAAGGGCAACGGCTGCCTCCCCCCACTCACCCCAATGTGTGAAAACCCAACAGGTGGCAGTGGCTTGGAGGAAAGTTGCTTTTGTTGCCCTGTCTGAGAGCCCCATCCAGCTTCGGAAAGGAAACAAATGCCGGAGGAGACTGGGGGGAGGGGAGGAGAGGGAGAAGAACGGGGCTGCCACACTGGTGTGTCTCCCTCCCCTCCCCAGTCCAGGGACTGGGGTCCTGGGTCTGGTCTGACCCTCACCTTGGCCACGGGCCCAGCCAGTCTAAACTGAGGCCAATGCACCCTTCCCAAGGTCACCTGGCCATCCTACCATGACAGCACAGACACATTCTGGTCCCAGGCACCTGGGTTCTCCAACCAGACTTTGCTTCTAAAAACAGCAGCCACCCAAGGTCATGGGGACACGGCCTCTGCACAGACGAGCAGCCCTCCTCAGCCAGGAGCCCTCTTCCCCTGGTGCCATGGCCTCTGGGCCCAGGCAGATTCCAGAGTCACCCAGGGCTGGGAGTGGGTGGACTTGAGCCTGCATGCCAGCTCCGCCACACACGTCTGCATGACCTTGTTGCTTGACCTCCCAAGCCTCAGTTTCCTCCTCTACAATTAATAACAGCATTAGCAGCAATGTTTACCCTATGCGTGCCAGGCAGTCTTCCAAGAGTTTTAATCTTCCCACCACCGGATGAGGTGGGTATGATTAGTGTAGGCGAGGAAACTTCACTTCATACCACTGACTTGGTATTGGGGATGTCGCTCAGGCACAGAGCTTGTTCCTTCCCCAGCACTGAGAAAACAAAACCAACCAACAAGAGTTTGCCACCTACTTCAAGGGCACACAGTGTGTTTGAGATAAAAGGATGGGACAGGAAGATTCTTGGGAGGGGACTCTCTCCTTTCCAAACACAGCAGTTGGGAAGACCAACTCTGCCTTTCTTCCCTGCTTCCACTCCCTGCACACACATAAGGTGCTGGTTCCCCCACACACACACATACACATACCTGCCGCCCCAGCGGCTCCACAGGTGCTGGCCCCAACAGGTGAGGAGGGTTCGCTGCCACAGACCTGCCAGGAGTGGGAAGGCAGAGAGGGGTGTGGAGTGGGACAGATCCCCCCACATGTGAGACAGGCCGGTTCCTGTCCACAGGGACAGTGGTCCTACTGGGCGACGTGCAGGAGGTGTGCGGCTCGTGTCAGGAGCTCAGAGCTTTCTAATAATCTACACAATGCACGCTGTCCTACAAAGGAGACATTCAAGATTTCTTCTTCACAGGATGAAAATCTCCATCTCAGGGAACTTAATTAGCATGCCCAAGGTTGCACAAATAACAGCAAATTTGGAGTCATTTGAACATTCTGGAATGCACTTTGAACCAGGAGCCAGGGAAGTGTAGTTGTTTCAGCAACACCTAGAGCTGCGTAGCTTGGACAAGCCATTTCACCTCTCTGAGACCCAGTTTCCACACATGTAAGATAAGAACTAGTCTAAGGTTCCTCAGGTGGTGGCTCTCCGTGCACAGGTGCCTGCTGAGAGCTCCTCAAGCCTCGAGGTGTTAGGAAGGGGTTTCCGGGTCTCTCACGGAGGAAGGGCAGGTGGAAGTTGATGCAGGTCTCCCCAGCTGCACCTACCCTATCCAGGACGACCGGAGTGCCAAGGGTCACCTGAAACTGAGCCAGTGCACAGGAGGTCTGGGGACAGAACTGCTCTCTTTCCTACTCCCTCCCAGAGTTGGACTCTGTTCCTGGCAGAAATTACTAACTAAATTCTTTCTCTCCTTGGGTCACAATAAATTCAGAGTATCAAAAACTCCTGTGTTCTTGGGCTAGGGGAAGAAGACCATGAAGGGGAAGCAGAGAGTCCGACTCAGACTGCAGGCAACTGGGAAGTTCCCTCTACCTCCTCCCACCCCTTCCTACAGGCCCTGCAGTGAAACCTGAGTGGCCTCCCTCCCGCTGAACTTGACCCGTGCCAGTCGCCTGGCCAGACCAGGCAGCTCTCCCCACCCATCACAGCCAATCTTGGTCCTCTCCCTCAGCCAGCCTCCCTCGGGATGTAAGGTACACAGGAAAGACACCAGTGGCATGCGCATGTGAGGCAAACCACGCCCCAGCAGTGCCCAGGGTGGACCGCCAGCCTGGGTGCTGGCCCCAGCTCTGCATGCCCCGCCTCTAGGGCTCCATCAGCCCTGACAACCTCAAGGATGTGACCAGCCTCATCTCTAATCAGAGGGTCCTCTCTTGGGTCCCAGTCAGGGCTTTGGACATGTCACTCAAAAAAAAAAAACAAAAACAAACCCAGGCACTTCCTGGTGAGCAAGGTTAGAGTCCACCCAACAAAGACTCCATTAAGGAATCTGAGCTGGCCCACCCGTGGAAGAAGCAACCTCAGTATGTGACCCGGTCTTGCTTAAAGGAATATCCAAGAGCACTGCGAACCACCCACTCGCCCTTACTGAGTCCCAATTATGTGCAAGCTTACTATAAAGATGCTGGTGATATAGAAATAACTGGCTACAGCTCCCGTTAGCAGAAGAGAAAAAAATGCAATCAATGTGCCAGAGGTGATGAAAGTGGTCAGATCCATGTCCACAGAGTTGGGACTTAAGAGTTGGGACATGCTCAGGGCTCCTGGTAGGCAGGAAGGGCTGATATCTATAAAATGGGTCCCCTGGAAGCTAGGATTTCCAAATTTGCCTACCTTCCTATCAGCCCCTCCCAGTCAGGTGTGCCAGAAGAATATGGGATCCAAAACCATAGGTCTGGGTTCTTATCTCAGCTCTGGCCCAGCTAGTGCATCCTAGATGAGTGCTCGTGCCTTCCTGAACCCAGGGTGGGAGATTCATCCACTGGACTGATTTTTGCTCTCTAAGGGATCTCCTGCCCTGGTTACTTCCCTGTCCTGAATGGCCTCTCCCTTGCACCTGAGGCCAGCTCTTCTAGAGATTTGTGGAACCCAAGCAGTCAAGTATGTTTCTTTCTCCTCCAAGTCTCTACTGCATGAGCCAGGTACCATCAGGGCTGGATACTGCACATGGTCCTCGGGTCTCTGATTTGTCGTCCTTCCTGACCACCTTCTCCCTGACTAGGCTTTTGGCTCCTAGAAAGCAGAACACACAGGCCCTGCCCAGACCCCAAAAAGGCGGGGTGCTCAACAGCAGGTTTGTAGGTGGAAGGATGTCCCATGGGGTTTGACCACTGAGTCCAGGACACAGACAGGGCCATACTCGAAGCATCTGGGTACTTGACTCTCTCCAGCAATAGAAGCCAGAGTGTAAGTCTACATTGCCACATCCCTAGGGATGTCCCAGGTGCTCCTGGCTTGGACACTATTTGCCAGCTCAAAGTACACTTGTGATTAGAGAATCTGGGGGGCAGAGGGCTGACAGGACACACACTGGGGAGAGAGGAGCTGCTGTGGGCAGCTGTTCCCAAGGGCATCCCCCTTGGCTGGGCAATCTGTCTGGCCTGGATCTGGAAATGCCCCCCAGAGAGGGTGACATCCAGAATTAACAAAGAAGGGAAGGGGAACAAACAACCTTGTCTGTAGGCACTTTGCTAAATATACGTTCTATTTGATCCACAACATAACCTCGCGAGGTGAGTGATATGTCCATTTTACAGACAAAGAAACCAA